AAATGCACTGATCAGTAATAACTTATTAAGAGTTTTAACGAAATTTCCAAATTGGATGATTCTATATGAAGCTTAGTACGTAAGTTTCAAAGAACTTATAGTGAATAATGTCTTCTACATAGAAAAAAATGATAGAAAATAGAGGTCTTCATTTATTGATGGTGTGATTTTGCAAGATGTGTGAAATGTTTAACAAGACATGGGAAACTGATTAACTTGACAGACTGATCAGTCAGATCAAATTCCTGAAACTTTTGGATAGTTAGTACATCATTCTTCATAAATTTCACTAAAATTCTCTATGATGCTGACAGATTCCACAATAAATAGATACCTTTCTTAGTGGATAAATATGATTTAACAATTAATTCACTGAATCAAGAAAATAATTGTTTATCCTGGTGTTAAATTAAAACAGTGTGAAAAAAGGGTTATTTTGAGTTAAACCAAATTTTCCACTTTAAACAACTAAACAGAAACTATGCCTGATTTCAGGAATAAATTGCACTGCACAAATAATAGATATCCAATCCACAAAATAAATCTCTTTCTATTTCTTTATATTTTAACACTCTTCTGTTGTTTTTTTTTTGTTTTTTGTTTTTTTTTTTTGTCAAATTTAATATGAACTGATAGAAATAAAATTATTAGCAAACTTAATGGAATGCTGATACTGATATATCAGTCTCTTAAATGTTGACACTCGATTAGAAATGAATTCCATTCTTGAAATCCTTAAAATAAATAATCCCTGGCTGCTTATGTGACATTTCAAAGAGTGCTTTATAACACCAAGATTTGGAATATAAGTAAAGAAAAGCAACACGTAGGTCCTAAAAATTCTTAAATCTTCTTACTTTTTCTTCATCTTGCAATTCTGTAAGTATTGGCGTGAAGGATGCGGTTTAGAAAAATAGTACGATTGACATAAGATACTATTATTATTCCAAAATCGAAAGGTAGAAAAATACAATTTGTTACAAGTTTTAAAAACCTTTACTACTTAATGATGATGATGATGATGATAGTAGTTGTGTTCATCTGGGAAGGTTCGCACCAACAACTTAAAGAACAGCATTTATTACCTAACAACATTGATGCACAGACAAGACAAGCTATGCTACTAACAATAGCACAGTCACAGACAGGAAAACACTTGCTTTTTAAAATACAATGATGCTTCCTCTCAATGTAGCTTTTTCTTCTCAGAAAAAGAGGGAAAATAAAATAAAAATCATAATACAATATATACAACATTTTTGCTTGCTTACTAGTGTAAATATGAATTTTTCTTAAATACTTTTATTTTTTAGCTGACAGTATTTTTTATTTTATTTCTTTTGTTTTTAGAGAGAGAGAGAGAGAATATCATTGCGTTATGTTTTTTAAATTTTTTAAACCAAGGTATCCAAAAAAAAAAAATAAAATAATGAAGCAAAAAATAGGTTTATAAATGAAATTGTCGATCATTAAATTAAAAATTGATTTCTAGAAAGAGGTTTGTTTTTTATTGCTTGTTTGTTCAAGGAATTATTTTTACTGTGTAAAAGTAAAAATTACTTTTAATTTTTATTATTTAAATTTAAGTTATTTTCTATTAAAACTATTTTAAGATTGAAAAGAAATTAATTTCATATTCCTAAAGTTTTGAATAAAGTATACGGACAAAAAGCAATGTAAAAAAATATTCTCAAAATCCAATCACGCAAATAATAAACGGAAAAAAGTTAGAAACGGAGTTTTCACTCGACAGAAAAGAAAAAAAATCTAAAGTAATTTAAAGAAAAATAATAATAATATCTAATAAACAAAATCTGGGTTTTATTGCTTTTTTTATCTTTCACTCAATAGTATTTTAAAATATAAGTTATATAACGAATTAAGTAAAACTTATTGATTTTTTAAATTAATCTATATATATTTTCCTAGCAAGTGGTTTAACACAGATCATGAACCGATCGGTATTGAGATTTTTATCTAAAACCTGCCATTGCCATGGAAAGGAAGAAAAGTCATTTCTGCATACATTAAAAATAAATAGCAAAACAAATCCATAATGTTGCATTTTCTTTTTCTTTATATTTTCGGCATTTCAAACAATAAAACAAAATTTGTGATTGTGAAAGAAAGCATTATTTTTTTCTTATGTATCAAATTACTTTTTAAGGAAATAAAAACTTGAAGAATTAAAAACGTCACCAGACACATGGAACACAAGCAAATTCATTTGCGATATTCGTTTGACGTTTTTATCATGTTTTCTTCATTAACTTCTGTCCTTGTTTTTTTAAACCATTTTAAATATAAACTAAAGTAACAGTTTCACAAATATTATAATAGTAATAAATAGTTATTAAAAAAAAAAAACAAAAAAAAGACAGGGATAAATCAATTACGATTTTTTTTGTCAAAAATAAAAAAAAAATTACCAAAAGATTTTCGGAAATAAAATGTTCTGTTCAGTTGAAAAGAGTTTCAAACACAGAAAATGTTTAAAATCCTCAGTGTTGCCTATACTTACATTTTTAAAAAAAGTTGTTTTTTATTATTTATTTTAAAACTAAAAGCATTCGAAATCTTAATTGTTAATCAAAGAAAAGTGTTGTTTTATTTTTGTTTAATTTATTTTAAAACGAGAAAATATTGAAAGACTGAAAAAGTGTTGTGTAGTAGAAAAAAGAACCCCAAATAGAGCGAAATCCTTATTTTGTAAAGAGGGGAAACGAATTATCTGATTGTTTAAAAAAAAACAAATTAAATTCCTTAATTACAGCGCAATCTATACAACAATATGCGTGAAAAATATAATTTTAATGCTGATCATAAATCTTTTATTTTATTGCCTCAACTCAATCAAATAAAATCTCTTATTCAATTTTATTTTTATCATTTTTATTCATTCATTACTCTCTTTTCTTCTTTTAATTTTCGATTTTTTTTAAGAAAATGTTTACTTTACAAAAGATAATTTGCGGAAAAATTCCAGAAGTGGGAAATAGTGAAATGACTTTGCGAAAGTACCATCTGTAGTATTACTATTAAAACTCAGAATTAATCAAGGCTCCTAGGCAGATGCGTTAAGTCACGTGATCACTATCGTAAAACTGACTGTAGACAAACACTGGAAAAATCTCCCTCAATAACTGAAGACTCTTTTACATTTCACTGCAGATATTTTTTATGGTGAATGACCTCGGGGTTAAAACGGGGGTTGAATTTTTCTTTTTTTTGAAGGCATATTTCAATAAGTTATGGTAAAAAAAAAAACAATTAAAAACTAGAGCTGATAAATGATAAGGATTAAAAATGGACAATAATAAATGCTAAATTTGTTGATTTCAAATTTGAAATTATCTTTCAACAATTTTTTTGTGGATGGTGGGTGCTACAAATAAAATCTCCCACACACACTGTTACACACACATATCTATCCACATACACCCATAGGGAATCACCCCAGTCAGACACACGACGCATTCCCACGCATACAAATTTATTTCGCAAACTAACTGTTGAAAAATTAATTTAAAACACAATTATTTAAACATTTGACAACAATAACGAAAAAATAATAGAATAGCGAATAAAATTGTTTTCACTCATTTTTTATTCGGTTTTTAAAGTAAGTTATAGATTTCTATACGAAAGTAGCAGCAGCAGCAGCATTTATAATTTTACGGATTATTTTCCTTCATAAAAAATTAGAAGGAAGTAAAAGTGTTATACTTTATTTAGTGTCTAGTTTTCCCGTTCATTTAGTATCAAGTCACTGATAAGATAAAGAAACTATATATTTTCAAGAAAGCATTTCTTTTTAAACAAGTTGTATTACTATTATTAAGTAACATAGTAGTCGTATGCTGCTACTCCTACTGCAAAAACAACGCACTTTAATTATTGGTAATAAATTAATCTTTTTTATGTCTAGTACTAAGACAATTTCATTAAATGTCTCAAATGGTTTTAAGGATGCAAAATACACAGAAATATGTTCAATTCAGTAGCGAGCTGAACTAAATATAATACTTTTTTAATTCATATTTCTACATTACACTACTTTACAACTGTGTAGTAGTAGTAAAAGTAAACACTACCAAACCAAGTAAAGTAATCATTTCTCTACGTAAACGGAATGATCTACTTCAACGTTATTCATTCATAGAATTAAAAAAAGAGATTAAAATATTTAGCAGTCTGAGATTATAGCAAAAAGACACATTTTTTCTCTTTTTCTCAAAAGTATAGAAAATATTCTCTCAGATGAAAAAAAAAAAAACAAAAAACGTAAATTCTAAATATGACAAAAAAAAAAAAAAAATTAATTTCATGCACTCATGCAGCTACAGTTTTTCCGCCCAGATACTTTTCCCTGGAAATGCATGGAAAATTGCATGGACCACGTCAGCCTTTATTTAGTCTTAGTGCTACGTTAACAAAAAAATAGATTTAACAAAAAAAAAACAACTTTTTTTTGCATGGCGTGTATTAAAAACAGTTTGTTTTGTTTTTTTTAAATTTCTATATTTTCTAAAATACGCACGTGTTTAACTACTATTGTTTAAGTCGACTCAAAATACTTTCTTAAAATAAAATAAATGAAACAACTACAACGGGAAAATTCAAAAACTACTAAAACTTAAAACATTACTTTTTAACGGAAATTACAATTAACTGTGGTTACTTACTTACATTTTCCAGAGGCGAGGCTTTATGTTTTTGAATTTATTCATGGAGATTTATAAATTTAAAAGAAAAAAATCAACTTCATTCTTCTTAATCTTATTCTTATGTCAGTGCGTGCTTCCCTGGAGTAAGTGTTGCTGTAAATTAAATTTTGTCCAGATCATTGTCCGTATGCGAGGTATTTTTTATGCGCTTTAAAAATCCAAACTAAATTTTCCTCTACACCAGAAGTGCGCTAACAAATGGTAAAGCAGTAGTTTCTTTACGTACTGCAAATAAATCTAATTTTAAAACAATAATAGTGTACCCCCTACGCAATGTCCAACTCCTATTCGCTCTCTGCTTCGCGCTTATTATTTCAGGGAGAGGAGGGGGAAATGAGGACAATAAGGAATGGAAAGATCAAGGAAAGGGAGAAAAAAGATGTTTTTCTTTATTTCTTGGTGATGATCAGAGGTCAACAGCTATTTAAATGCGTTAATGATAGCAGTAATGAAAAAGGTTAAATCAAGCAGCCCTTTTTTCTCTTCAACACATAGTGAGTGATTTGTTAGAGGTAACTAAACATCTACCTATCTACTTAAACACGAGAGAAGTCGTGCCTTAGCAGTAAGAAAGTTATTGTACTTACTTCGTACTCACAACTAAAAATGTTTAGTAAGCATAACTTCTTCAGAATTTTATATTATTAAAATATAATTAGACCACGTGAGACCGTTTTAATTAAAAAAAGGTTTGTTTCAAATCGAAAATACTAGTGTACTGTACTTAGTGTACTACAATTGTGTGAAGTCTTGACTTACCAATAAAATGTTATGTGTATGAAAGAGCAGCAGTAGGTAATGGTAACAACGCTCTTTTTTCACTCAGCTCCGTCGCCCTAAAGTACTAATGATTTTTCTACTTTAAAGATTGACAATTAAAAAAAAAGGTCTAGTTTTTTTTTCCGTAAAAACAAAAGAAAGTAAAAGAGAAAAAGAAAAGGAAGCTTTTTTTTCTTCTCAGCTGCATTTGTAACACTGGCTGCTGGACAAGAAAAAGAAAAGAAAAAAAAGGTAGAGCTAATAGTAAACAACGTGAAATAATGCTCACTCACTCGACTTGTCGTAGTGCGCGCTAAGTTGCATAATAAATTTCACTTTAAAATCAATTATTTCAAAAACGCTTTATCTCATTGGTAACTACATTCTAAGACAATAATTATCGGTATAATTACGCATAAAAATCGAAATAACAAAAAGTTTCTTTTCATTTATTTTTACTTTCTTTTGGTTATTCGTCTTTTTTTTTCACTTTTTCTTTTTTCTGTGGTCGGTTTGATTTTCTTTCCTTTTTTTTTTTTTTTTTACCCACACTCCTCAGTAGTGAACACTAACAACAACAAAAACAATGAACAGAAAATAATTTAAATCTACCAAAAAAATAAAAAATAAAAGACAGTAAAAAATAAAGACAAAACTAAATAATTTCTCAATATATATATAGTTTTTGGATGAATTGAAAATCAATGAATAAAAAAATATATATTTTGATAAATTCGAGTTTTGCCTAATTCTATAATATATTCGATAGCATGGCGATGCAAAGTGAAAAAAAAATATCTGCGGCAGACAAACATCGTAAAAAATGCAAGAATTAATAAAGTAAAGTGAAAATATCTTCCTAGCGATGTTTTTAAACTATTCACAAGAAAGCTAGAATAACATGATTGAATAACCCTGACAATAAATAACTGTAAACACGATTTTCCAAGTAAAAGTAAGTCATTGTGATTTAAACAAATGACGGTGAGCTTACTACAAAAAAGAGCGCATACAATTTTTCAGACTTAAATAAGCAATAAGAAAATTTATTTTATTTGCGTGTTTTTATATTATTTTTATATTGTCTTTTACATTTCCTGAAAGATATTTTTACTTTTTAAGTTTTTAAACGATTTCTTTTTATTTCGATTTTACTTCGCTTTTGATTCGAGAAAGTTAAAAGTAAAACTATAACAATTTATAAAGTGCGTTGTAAAGAAAAGAACAAGTGTCAACTGGTCTGAAATGTTTTGTTCTTCAAAGAGAAACCATTTCGTAGAATTTTAAAATTTAATGATTAATAATAAATCATCTTCAAATTTTTATTCAATTATCTTGTACAAAAAAATAGAATAAAAAAACATTCAAATGAAGTAAAAAAAATAAAAATAGGCTAATTTGATCTTTTAGAAAAAGTTGAGGAATATTTTTCCTATTAGTTAGTATTTCTCACAATAAGCTTTCAATTTTTGAAATAAAGTCTTAATTTTAAATGTTTTTTTATAAAAAGGTATTTATTACAATTAATAAAATTTGTACTAGAAAAATTCAAATTTAATACAATATAGTTGAAATCAGTTTTTGATTTTTCTTTTTTGACAATATGAAGAGTAAAAAAAAAATTGTAAAATCGGTAAAAAAAATTTATAGCGTAAAAAAAAAAAAAAATAAAATAAAAAGGTATAATTTCAAATGCCGCACCGGTTTTTCTTTAGAGCTTTATCCCTGAAATTAAGGGAGGAGCGGGTTTCCACACCTACATCTCAAAGAGTCCCGGAAGAAAAAAAAAAAAAAAAAAAAAAAAAAATTTAAAACTCACTTGACTATTTCCTTATTACGGTGATAAATTCACAGCTGAGCAGATTTGTTTTTTTTTTTTTATTATTATTAATATTTTCAATCCCTCTTCTTCAGGAAAAAATTACTTCTTCCTTCCCACTTTTTTGCCTCGTTCTCGATTTGAAATCGAAAATTTAACAGCTTCGATCGAGATTCGCGCAAACACCACATCCAAGAAAAAAGCTTAAAACAAGAGTTTCTACTTGATTTCATTTGTCATTCTTTCTTAAATAAAATAAAGAGAGAAAAATACTCTCCAAAACTATTACATTGGGCTAAAATCCTTTAAGTTATAAGCATTAAAAATGTATTTTAGCGGATAAAAAAGTTAAAAAAAATATACCCGCTATTTCTAGGCGTAAAATGTGCTTATGTTTAGTTTAGTAAAAACGAAAAAAAAAACATTCAGACATTTACATATGCGTACAAAACGAAGAAAAAAGGTACAGAAAATTATACTTTTCTTCAATAATAACTGAAAATAAAAAGAAATTAAGAAACTCGAGTAATTTTTAAATCTTTTAGTACTTTTAAATTGGACACCCGGCAAAATCAAAGGTTGCTTGAGAAGTAAAAGGAAAAAAGCGGTCACTAAACATATTTTTTAGCTTTTTATCCAACAATTTGAGAAAAATTGCATCTTTAAATCGTTTTTTACTTTGTTCAAAATACTTTTATTACTCATTTGGCTTTATTTTTTAACTTTGAAATTAAATGAAAATTTTAAAATTAAAAGCAAAAATGAGTTAAAAATTATCTTTACATGTGAATTTAAAAACAAAAAAAAAAAACAAAGATAAATCTTCCAGGTTTTTTCCTATCTGCGGAAAATTATTTTTAAAAAAATAAAATTTAAAAAAAAGGCGCCTCGCACTTAAAAAATTGAGATTTTTCACTTCTTTTATTCTGTCGGAGGTTGTTGGTGCGGCTTTTCTTCTTCTTTTCCTAGAAAAAAAACTTGATTTCCCAAACCAGCAAAAGGGAAGAAAAGATAACTAAAGGGCGCTTTGTCGCTACCGAAAAAGATGAAAACATGCATAAAAAAGCAAATCGAGATAGACTCGATGACTATCTGAAAGTGAATAACAAACATCATGTCGAGTATGCAAGTCAAAAATAGAACAACCGGATAAAGTTGTCGGCGGTAAAATTAGTAAAAAAAGTCACCCTACCTACCGTTTTTCTTCTTAATACGCCATCGAACTTGTATTTGAGCTGAGCAAGATAACGCATAAAGCGCAGGGGGCGGCTACGGGAACAGCCAATGCGTGCTATAATTTGCCGTTATGGTTAATGGATGCACCCTCAACTACTTCATGGGAAACGTGTTGAATCTATTCGGCGGATGAAAGACGCAAAGAAATTGAAGATAAATAAAAATGTGCTCCTCGTCATATAATAATTATGCTATTTTTTAATATTTATTGCAATAAAAATTTCAAAAGAAAATTAATAATTTTGAATTTAAAAAGTGCGAAAAAAATTAACTACTGAGGCTGAAGAAGAAGCGTCACTTTTTTTTCGTCACTTTTTTTTACTTTTAGTTTTATTCTTCATTTCCTAAAAAAAAGGGGAAATTCGCTACTTTTTCTAAATGATGTCTATCATATTCGTAGTTTTAGACTTTTAGCCTTTTCGGTATTTTTCACACTTTTCTTCACTTTTCTAAATATTTTTTAATAGCTCCTAAAAAGAAAGACCTCCTAAATTAAAAACTAAGTCTTTCTTTAGTTTTTAGTTACTATTCGAAAACTAACAAATATATTACATTTTTAATCAATGTGACCTTATTTTTTTAAATTAATTTTAATTCTTTTTATTAGTTTATTTTTAAATTATTTCTCATTCACATAATTAAAACAAAAACATTTGGGAAGGCTAGTTATCTGATCAGATAATAGTTTCCTTTTAATATTTTAATTACTGCACGACGATCGTAAAAATAAACGCAATTTAAATAAATAATTGAAAAAACCAATACTCGAAAATTTGTTTTCGAACATATCCGGAAAATAACGTTTTACCATGCTCGGTTTTTTATTTATTTATTTTACTTTTTATTATTAATTACATATTGAATTATAGAATTAAATTTAATAAAAATATGAAAACACAAAGTAGGAATAAAATATATGAAATCTTTGTATATTCGGGAGCAGAAATGAACGGATTTAATTTTTTCCCATGATGCATCTGATTGTTATGGTGACGTCACATTCGCCAGTGTGTTGTTGTTTTTATTTGGGGGACTCCTGACTTTGTTGTGTGAAAGAAAGAAAAATATCTTCGCTTTCATTTAACGGTTGTTGCCTTGGAGGTAAGTGTCACTTGCATTTATCAGGCATTTACACAATTTGTTCACCCACATGATTTTTTCTGGCTGGTTTCTGCTAAAAAACAAATAATTCTACCCTTCTTGTCGACACGCTGTCCTGTTATACTGTGGACTGTTGTGCAAACAATCATTGCAATGCAATGGCTTCTCTTCTTGTTCTTGAGCTAAACTGAAAAGATGATGAATGAAGAGAGAAGTTGTATTTTCTTACACCAGCTCCTTTTTCACGACTTCAAATGTTCGATGATATTTAATATAAAACTCTGACACTTTTATAAGTGCTTGTTTTTATTTATTATTGACTTATTCGTCTGTTGTGTATTTTTTTTGTAAAAATAACCAATGCAACAGAAGTCCGTAGTGGAATTTTGAAATATAGTTGGATCTTGATTTTTGACCACAACACCATGCCCCAAATACTTTATTCTTTTCTAGAAAAAACAAATTGTTTAAGGTCTATTATGAAATGTAAACTTTGCTTACTCGAAACAATACAGCTTTACTTAGCACAATTTATCGTTAAAAACTTTTCCCTCTTCTTTACTGTACAAAGCGAGAGACCTTGAACATCACAAAATGACTAAAAGAGTGGCCTTCCTGCTTTTACATTTTTATTCACTTACCCACAATAGGGAAGATAGATCTACTACTTTGTATTTCGAAATTAACATGATAGTAATATTATTGAATTATTGTTTACTTTTTTCCTCTAACGAAGGAAACTTAGTTATTTGATGCCTTTTTTTTAGGACCCTGGGGCATTTGTGTGCCAGAAATTTGTAATGAATAAATCATGGCTTTGGTATTGTTTATATATTTGGATATGAAATGGGTGATCAGATTTTGTTATTATATTAATATTAAACTGATCACTGACTTTTAAGACACTATTTATGTGCTAAAATAAGCTGATCGCTGCATTTTATCAGTTACACAAAAGAATAAAATTGTTTAATTTTTCATGTTTGACGGCTTGTTATCTGTGATATGGTCATTGCTCTCCAGATGTCACTGATATGAAAAAGTCCAAATTATCGCTTATTTGTTTCTATTTTCTTCCTCTACTAGCCTTTTTATTACTCCTTTTTTAGTTTATCTTTTTGCTCCGTTAATGGTTCATGGTTCTGTTTTAAAAATAACACAAATTTTATTTAATTTTTCTTTTTTATGGTCACCATTTTAGTTGTCTGTCCAATGTACATCATTACAATCATTTTTTTTTTTCTTTTAAACAGTTTTCTTTTTTGAGTGGAACATTGGTAGTAACAACTGCCATGAGGGTTAATTTCGTTTTATGTTAATTGACCTCCTTTTTAAGATACGGATGTTCAATAGTGTCACTATTGTGATTTTAAAAAAAAAAAGCTTTTTTTTTTTTTTTTTTTTTTTTTTTGTTTTGTTAATTAGTCATACCATGGATTGTTATCTCACTTTAACTTTTAAAACTTGGATTTTATTGATTTTTGTAAGGTTGCTGATGAAAGTCCTTTTCTTTTCCTCTCTGTGACAACACACATACAGGTTCTTTTAATGCATGTTTTGATTGATTGAAACATTTGAAACCTTTTTCTTTTTTTCTTAAATATCTTTCATTAAACGTATATTCTTTATTTTGGGGACAGATTTTTTTCCACATAGATTTTTTTATTCCTGTTATTGTCTGTCACCGGACGGGTGATTATTGAATGATTTTCATACTTCGTCATTTTTTCTTTTCCTTTTTTTTTTTTTTTAAAAACTTTCGAAGGTTATGTTAATTCTTTCGCAAAACATAATCTTAAACTAAAAAAAAAGTTTAATTTTCATTTCATCTTAAATTAAGATGAAATGTAAATTCAACTTTTTTTTTTTTAAGAAGTTTTTGGATTTTTTTTTTTTTTTTTTAACATTTTTTTTTTTTTTTTAGCTATTGCAGTTGAGTTAATTAAACTAAGTCTTTTTAAGTAAAAAAAACTTATTTTCTTCTGGTATCTTACTGTTGTTTCTTTTATTTAACGATTAAATGATTCGAAATTCCAATTATTCATTTTAACTTTTAAGTGTACATCTTTGTGCACATTGCAAAATTTAAAACAAAAAAAATGAGAATTCAGTTTATTTTCGAAGATGTCCTCAATGATGTAAGAATTTATCAACGTCCATTTCCAAATATAAGAAACGCGGACCCCCAAACTCAAGTTAAAAGTTTAACAGCATAAAAATGAATTACTGATGAATCAGGATTGTCGGAGATCATGACGATCAATTCAAAATAAAGGTTTTGTTTTTTTTTCTTCCAATCATCTATTCTAAAAAAATGTATTCGATTTTTTAAATTTTTTTTTGTTTTAAGGTGGCATTTTTCCAATAGCGTCTTATTCAGTTATTTCAATCAAACAAACAGAATCTTTTTTAAAAAAAAATGCTCTTCATTTGTAGTGAAACAAATATTTGGTTGGATTGATGTGAGTTTGTAACCCTAGGTTTCACGCTTTTGCGATCGTTGCAAAAGCGTGAAACCCAGAGTCACAAACTCACATCAATCCAATCCAAATCCAACCAAATATGTTAGTTAGCTCTCTCTGATATTGAGCGCTTTCTAATAAGTACCGCGCATATAATATATACACATATATACACACACTTTTCATACATATTCATACCATCCATTTTATTTTTATTTTTTATCTCACTGCGATAAAAGTAATTTACTGCTTTTTTTAAAAAGTGAAGAATAACAATCTGGTGCTGCATGGTTCTCAAATCTCGAAGTCCAAAAATTGCTTTCGTATTTTTACTCCACTGGGTCTCCGTACATAAAACTTATCAAATCAGATTATCATTTCTCTTGTAGACTATGAATGAGTAGAATAAGCCAAGAAATGGATGTTTGATAATTTCTGAAATGGTTGAGTTGTTTTATTCGCAACGGAAAAGTTGGTTTTTTTTTTTTTTTTTTTCGACACTGAGCTGCGTAGATGGAGTGACTAAAATTAATCCGTCTTGCCTTGCATTTATCGACCATAGTCAAGGACTTTATACACTGTGTAGTGTAAACAGTTTAATTGTTATTGTTTTTTCACGCCTTATTATAAATGCGAATCTGTTACTGCTTCTTCGAGAAATGTCCGATCATCAATGAAAATGAGAAGGCTTTTTTGACTTTGTTAAATAAATGCTTAAAAGTTTGTTTTTTAAGTAAAAAATAAATTTTGCTGACAGTAAAAAGGATTACGAAAAATCCCTTTCCAATTTAATCTCTATTCTCTCTAAATATTCTTTAGTTTTTAAAGTCGATCAGCATGTTAATGATCGAAAAAAAGTTAAAACCCTAAAATTAGCAGCTTTTTAGTTATTTATTTCAATGTTTAAAAAAAGAAAATGGATGTCCACAAGATGTTGCTTCTCGTACCTACCGCTTCCTTCCATTTGAATTTTACTTGGAGCAGAAGTTTCAATAGTTCAATGACTAAAAATTCTGACCTACCCATATAAAAGAATGCTACTCTAGACTTCGATTATCAGTTGACATTTCAATTTCATCGAGGATCAGTATTTGTTTTTGTTTTGTTTTTTTGTCACTCCTGCACATGGGTAACTTAACTTGTGCACCCGTAAAATCTGTCTTAAACGAAGTTGTGATAATTTACAATGAAAGAATCAATCGGTTTTGTTTTGTTTTTGTAGCTATATAACCAGATTATATTAATTATTCCTTACCTACACTGACTATAATTTTAATTTTCGATGAATAATTCAAATTGATGTTTTCAATTTGTTCTTAATGGATTCCAATAAAAAGGGAAACGTTTTTACCTCTATGCTTGATTTGTAAAAAATCCACCTGATCTAATGAATTATTGCAATATTTGCTTAACAACACGTAACAATAGTTTGTTTATTTCAGCAATCAGTGTTTTTTAACAGTAACACTGATGTTTTAAAGCACTTGGTTGCGGAAACTAAAAAAGTGGGGTCAGGGTTCCTGTAAAAAAAAAAAAAAAAAAAACAGGTTTGTAAAGAAAGCTTAATTTAATAGAGCGAAACTATCAATTTTTCTTAGTTACATTCGTTGATTCAGAAATATTTTGTAATAAAAATACTTCAGCGACAGCGGAAAATTAAATTCTTTGACATTTATTTATGCCCTCAACAAACAAAAAAAAATTATACATTTGTTTACTCAACTGCGTTTAAACAAACAATTTTTTTTTTTTTTTTTTTTTTGTGGGTGAGCTTCTTACAAAAATTGTTTCTAACTGTAATTATGGGCCTGAATGCAAAAATAAAACTAGCAAGACTTTTTTTAATGTTAGAAATCCTTAATTTTTTAGTCTCTTGTTTGACACTATTTCGGAAATAGTTTTCAATGTGTTTTTCGAATTGAAATAAACAAAAAAAAAACGTTGATTTTATATTTTCTCCTGGATTTATCTTTAAGATAAAATCATAGAGAAAACTACTGAAAATTTCTCGCTTCATAACTTCTCTGTTAATGCTTCTTTGTTCTTTCTCTCCTGTTTTCTCCTTAGTAACCTCTCTCTATTCATTGTCTTGTTTCTTTTATTTTTCCTTTTTCCTCCGCATTATTTTCTCAGCTCTCCTGCATTCTTTCTTCTCGTCTGCTAAATTCACTCATCAACAATTGTTAACATTAACAATGTAATTTTTTTTTTTTTTTTCCTCAAGTATTATTGTAAATTTTGACTAAACAATTGTCAAGTTCATATGACTTAACGGTCAAAGCAACTGGTTTGTCCATCAGGCAAAAGGAACACAAGTTCGAGTCTTAAAGTATTTTTTATTTTTGATTCTGCAGCTGTAAATTTATTACCTGAGTAAATTTATATAAAAAAAGGCAGCTGAACGAATTATAGGCACCGCCACTGAGTTTTCGATACCTAAGGACCTTAGGCTAAGGTTTATGAATTTTTAAAAATGAAAAAGCATTTTAGCTTTAAAATTTCATCATTTAGCTTTTAAGATAAATGATGAAATTTACC